CAAAACCAGCAGAAAAGGGTTGTTTACATCTTCTTTTTCCCTTCTCCCCTGCTGCGGGGGCTCGCCCTGACACCCGTTTGTGGCTGAATGCCTTCGGGTTCATAGGGCCAGGGTTGAAACGCGGGGGGGAGCGCCCGCCGGGATGGGTCCCGAGGGACCGTACCCCCACGTCGCTCCCCTCCCTGCCTCCCCTCGCCCCGTGACCTCCCCTCTCGTCTCCACCGGAGAGAAAACCCAAACCAGAATTTGGCGCAGAGTCTCCCTCGACATAAGCTGTTTGTGATCCGTTTGAATAATTTTTTCCTTTTTTTGCCTTCGCGCTGTGTTTGGAGCGGTTGCTATGAGTTCCTGCGAGGCGGGGGGAGCGGGGTGGGACGGTGCATGCAGTTTCCATGGACACGATGTAGTACAGCGAGGCATCCGGAGCGATGCTCGAGATTAATGTCTAACCCGCGACTGCCTTCCTGCCTTTCTCACCTGGGCAGGGCTGGGATCCCCCCCTGGCTCCGGGGCAGCCCGCACGGCCACCGATTCACAGGTTTTGGTGATTTTGAGGGAGCCCAAAGTCGCGAGACCCATGGTCCAGGTTCCCAGAGTTGGTTTGCACGAGCGCAGCACCGTGTGCCCTGCCAGCCTCCGCCGCCTTGCCTCTCCGCGGGTCCTGGGCAGCCTGCCTCCAGCTCTTGTTAGGACTTGGGAACACTAATGAGATAATTAGTCCTGTTTCAGCAGCTGCCGATGGTGGTCGCAGCTGCTCTTGAACTTTCAAGGTGCTCTGGCTTTCGTATGCCCCATCGGGGAAAGCTCACTCAAATGCACTCCATAACGGTAATGAGGAAGTGGAAGTTATTTCGTCGGCGTTCGCATCCTTCCTCAGATGCTCCCGACCTTCCCGTTGATGTCTGCAGGAGCGCTTTGACCTCTCCCGGCAGCAGACAGGTCTCCTGGCTGCCCTCCCACCTCGAGCCGAGCCCTCTCCTACCAGGCTTGGTTTCAGCAGCGTAAGGGAGTAAGGCCGCCTGTG